TCCATTTTCTGATTCCTCCACTGTGTATGATTTGTCCTTCCAACTAGTATTTACGGATTTATGGGGGCCATCACATGTTATTTATAATGGTTATAGGTATTATGTGAGTTTTGTGGATGTCTGCACGAGGGACACCTGGTTATATCTCCTTAAGGACAAATCCCAAGCTACTTATGCATTTACACTATTTTAATAGCTTGTGAAAACACAGTTTGGACTGTCGATTTTAGCTGTTCAGAGTGACTGGGGTGGCGAATATCGCATGCTGTCTCGAATTCTTGCTGAAGCTGGCATTTCTCATCGTGTTATATATCCACACACGTAAGAACAAAACGATGTAGTGGAACGCAAACATATACATGTAGTTAACTTGGCACTGGTTTTACTCGCACAAGCCTCCACGCCAATTAGTTATTGGTCGTATACAATATTCATGGTTGTGCATTTGATCAATAGACTCCCCTCCTGGGTACTAGCTGGGCGTTCACCTTTTGAGTGCATATTTAACAAGAATCCAGATTAGGAATCACTCAGGGTCTTTGGATGTCGATGTTTCCCTCATCTAAGACCATTCAATGCTCATAAGCTTGACTTTAGATCTCATCCGTGTACTTTATTGGGTATTAGCCCTCAACACAAAGGCTTTCTTTGTTTAACGCATGATAAGTGTGTCATTGTTTCTCGCCATGTGAAGTTTGATTAATGGAATTTTCCATTTGCCAATGATAGCACGGACAGATAGTCATCATTTTTGTTACCTTTGAGCCGATATCTTAACATAGTAATGGATGCCAATAAGCTGAATACTGGTGGTACTCAAATCCCAGGTGTTGTTCAATTACCTGTAGATGATTCTGGCCACTGCACTACACGATCAGCGTCAGATACTGAGTCATTTGTTGTGTCTGAAGTTCAAGACCATGGTCAAGGATATCCTGAGGTTGCTGAGGATGTTCAGTTGCTGACTGGTGACAGAACAGAACCTGCAGCTCGTAATGGGCATCCTATGCTAACTCGAAGTAAGTGTGGGGTATTTAAGCCAAAAGTGTTTACTACGTTTTTTGATGATGTTGTACCAACCACGATTAAAGAAGCTCTTCAGTCTGCTGCATGGACTAAAGCAGTACATGCTGAATATTCAGTTTTACTTGAGAATGACACGTGTGTACTTGTTCCCTTACCTACTGACAGAAATGTGGTGGGGTGCAAGTGGTTATTTAAGCTCAAATGAAACCCTGATGGGTCTATGCTTAGGTACAAAGCTCACCTAGTCGCGAAAGGGTTCACACATGTTCCTAGCCTTGACTTCCAGAATACGTTTAGCCCAGTTGTGAAATTCTCGACAGTTTATGTGCTCTTAACCATGGTTGTTGCTAGAGGCTGGGTTTTAAGACAAGTTGATATCAACAATGCTTTTTTAAATGGGGATTTGCATGAAGACGTGTATATGCAGCAGCCACTGGGATTTGAACAATGTGCTCCTGATGGTACTCTGTTAGTGTACAAATTGAAAAAGGCACTCTACGATCTTCGCCAAGCACCGCGTAATTGGAATGACAAACTTAAAGCTAGTATGTTGGAGCTTGGATTTGTTGAATCCAAAGTGGATGTGTCACTATTTGTTAGGCTTCAAGATGATTGCAGTATGTATGCTTTAGTGTATGTATATGATATCATAATAACAGGGACATCTACTGAAGTTGTTGATCAAGTCATTCGTATGCTCAGTATTCGTTTCTCACTCAAAGATTTAGGTGAGTTGTCGTATTTTCTGGGAATAGAAGTTAGGAGATTGGCACTGGTTTGGTATTGAGTCAGCGAACTTATATTTATGAGTTGTTGAAGAAAGCCAATATGAGTCAAGCAATGCTTGTTTGCCCTCTAATGGTTTCTGTTGTGAAAGCTACTAATCACGGTAGTGAGTTATTGGCTAATGCTCGGGAGTATCGTAGTATTGTGGGAGCTCTCTTGTATGTTTGTCATACTCGACCAGATATATCGTTTAATGTCAATAAAGCTGCTCAATACATGCATTCCTAACGAGAAATGCATTTGGTAGCAGTCAAACGCATTCTGCGTTATTTGGCAGGATCACTGGATTATGGATTGGTATTTTCGAATAGTGATACTAGACTACATCTCAAAGCTTTCTTTGATGTCGACTGGGCTGGTGATGTCAGTGATCGTAGGTCTATGACGGGATATTGTGTCTTTCTTGGAGGTTGTCTGGTTGTATGGAACTCCAAGAAACAGAAGACAGTCTCGCGGTCGACAATGGAGGCTGAGTACCAGAGCGTTGTTGATTCAGCTGCAGAAGTTACTTGGCTTGCTGCGTTGCTTTGTGACCTTGGGTTGTCCTTACTAGATGCACCTGTTATTTGGTGTGACAACACAAGTGTTGTTGCGTTGAGTGTCAATCCAGTATGTCATGCTAGGTCCAAGCATGTTGAACTGGATGTTCATTTTGTCCGAGAGAAGATTGCAGCTGGCCATCTTAAGGTCAGTTATGTTCCTGTTGCGTTTCAAGTGGCCGATGGTCTAACCAAGCCACTGACCAGGCCAGCGTTTGAGCAGTTTCGAGTAAAGTTGCATGTTATGTCGTGTTAAGGAAGGGGGAGAAGAAGAAGCGGAGAGAATGTTGAGATACATGAGGTAGCTGAGTATGTTATGCATGTGATAATGCGACGCATGCATTGCGTGAGTGGCATCTGGAAGATTGTAGATGGTAAATGCAGTTAGTATACGTGGCAAGTCTGTTAGGGAACGGTTTCTAAAGCTGTTAGTTTGTTGAAGTTTGTTATGAATTAACTATAAGTAAGCAAACTTAGGTGAAGTGTAAATATGTCAAGCTTAATAAAATTACTTCTGGTATTTCTCCTTGCTTAATTCAAACTTTGCCTACTGCAATGTTTAACACCCTTAAACTTGGACATTAAAAAAATAAAAATTTGAATTGATGAAAAATCAATTTACAAAACGATGTGAAGCCCCAATGTTAGCACAAAAGAAGTTCCAAGAAATTTCAAGGTGGTTGTACATTCCAAGTAATTATTAGAATGAACAAAAGCTCTAAATATGTGGGGTCGTAGGTTTTTCTTTCATTTGTTTTCCTTATTCAAAAAGTAACAAAGCGTGTGGAAGTGCTGTTCCTATTTCTTCTTATGATTCTTCATTTCCATGGACTAGGTCAAGTACTCAATTTTCTATATCACACTTGTCATTATTCATTTCCATAGATCGTCGAATATTTTGTCTGGAACAGCATTTATTGAGGCGATTAAAACGATATTGGAAAAAGAAGGAAAAATTAGACTTTAACTTGTCCGAAGGGAAGTAAACTCAGTAACGGACCACCTTACTGCATTGTTTCACGACTTACCTGTAGGAGAGAGTCGGTTCCAAAATACCCCAGCAGATTTGATTGATCTTGTTCTGCAGGAAACAACCTACACCCATTAGAGATACTGTTTCGTTTCAGTATTAGAAGAAAAAATTATTTGCACCATCTCCTGATTTAATTATTATCTAACTATAATAAGAAACGAATACATTAAATTAATCGTCATATAGCATGGGGTCAGGCCCAGTCATGACATTTTAAGGGTCCTATTCCAAAAGGTGAGGATAAGAAGATAAGTGATGGCTTAAACTTAGATTTCTCACATCATTAAAATAGGGCCCATTGAATTATAATATTTTCGAATTTTTTAAATAAAAAATATATTTAAAAATATTTTTTAATTATTGAGGCCCACTAAATTATCATATTTTAAAGTATTTTAAATAAAAAATATGTTTAAAAATAATTTTAAATTATTAAACTTAAAAATAATTTTAAAAATGGATCCCTGGGCGCAGTCGCCCCCTGGTCTATGCCCAGGGTCGGGCCTGCACGGGGTCCATCAAGGACATGTGTTGACTCGTTGCTACCTTTTGTTAGTTAGGCTGGTGCCTTTGTGTAAATATAAAATTCGGAGCATTCCCATCGATTATTCAAAAAAGTTAGTATGAAACAACAGCATGCTGCATGCATCTCTAGAATCACTCATTGCAATTTGAAAAACGGGGAGAGTTGTATACGTTGGGATTCAAATTTTAACCATTTTCAATATTTGGAAAAAGGTAGGCCTCAAACTGTTAAAATCAATGCGTCTGGCTAATGCCCGATCCATATGATTCAACACATATATTAACAATATAATTTTTTATATATATTAACAATAAATAAATAAATGAGCAAATCAATATGTGATTATCATATTGACATTTGTATTTTTGTTTAATAGTTGATGTTGTATTGAATTACGATTGATAAAAATACTGAAAGGGGACATTCAAAAATTAAGTTATTCGTTTTGTGTATAATATGATTAGAAATCAATAAACCTTTTTTATTGTTGTTATATTTTTTATACTTTTAATGATTAAAAATTAAATTGATAAAAATTATAAAGAAAATATATATTTTCAAAGAGTATTACATTTTTTTCTTCAAAAACTAGTTTTTCATTTTAAAAAATATATATATTTTTAATAATTAATAGACATTATAAACTCAAAGGATTATTTTTTTTTTTACTTTTTTAAATTGTCACTTACATATTCTTATTTTGAATAGAAGCCATTAGTTTTATTAGAAGAAAAACATCTAAAAGTGTAGTTTTTATTATTATTATTATTATTATTATATATATATATATATATATATAAATATAAATAAAAAGAAGAAGGAGAAGGAGAATGAGGAGGAGGATAAGGATAAGGTTGCTCCCTAATGAAAAAGAATAATAAAAAAAAGCATAATTTGATTCTTCAATATACAGTTTAAAAGCAACGGACATTGACACTCTGCTATTAATATTATGAATTGGATTAAAACTGCAACTACTAAGGAGCAATTGCAAGCCTTACAGAGAAGGAATAGAGAACCGAACAGAGATAAAAAGAAGGATAAGGTTGCTCCCTAATGAACTTATACATAAGAAATGCATGGCGTTTTCTTAAGAAGAAGAAATCTTCTTCAGCTCTCTTCGCCGGTTTTCAAATACTTCTTTGTCTCTCATTATCCAAAACCTTTCGATTTCCTCGGCTTTCCGACGCGGAATCCTTCCGGCAATTAACCCCCACCTGCGCATAAATTAACCAATTGGCCAACCACAGTTGATAAAATCATTCGTGTTTCACTTCAAATTCATGTTTTTGATAGTGTTATGTAGATTTTACTGCACTAATGTCACCTGTCCCCAACGAGCTTATACATTCTATAAATGAGATCTCCTTCTTGTTCAGACATGTTTATGAATTCCCATTCAATGCTGCTCACCTCTGCCATAAAACACATTAACAGCACAGCTCAAACCAAACCCAGAAAGTAAGCGAAATGGAAACCGAATAACAAGACAATTTCAAAGCAATGGGGTTTTGGGGTCCAGTAAAAGGGAAATTAGAAGAATAGAGTTATATTGTGTGTACCGTCAGAACAGCAGCTGCTGGCCTTGGCTTGCTGCTGGTGACGTTTGTCCATTTCCTTTAGCCCTTAGTATAGATACTTGAAGTAGAACTTGCGAGGTTAATGGAGGATTTATAAATTCTAAGGGCAATTAATAGTTTCCTCTCAAAGGCGGAGTTTATAAATTCTAAGGGCATTCAGAGATGAGCTTGAGCCTTTCCTTTAGTGGAACGACAGGTCCTACCAAACCGGCGAATTTAAGTTGCTTGACTTATTGTTGTCCATGTTATAGCCTTTACGCCACCCTGACCGACACAGGTCTAAGTTTTTGTCATTTGTTTCGTACTTATCTTCCCTATACAACTTTGATACCATTTTTTACATTGATTATATGAATTAATTGGATAGTTTTCGACTTGTAGCTTATCAGACATCTTTGATTTTTAGTTCCTATACATGGTAACTTTGGTAGGATGAGTAACCTACCAAATCCAAACCAGAAGAGTATATTTTTTCTGGCTTAAATGCTACAAGTATACTTATCCTCTCAATGTGATGTTTAACTATCGTTTTGGTGGCTTTAAATGCTATAAGTACACGATTTGTATTTAAATTAATTAAGAAGGGTATATTTATAATTTTGGACGTGGCACTGACAAGGAAGTGTTGAGAATGGGTGGTTGGGACTGGGCAAAAGTCAAAACCTCCCCAGCCAGCCATATGTCTCTAAATGATATGGGTAGAGGTAGAGCTATAAGTGATTTGCCTTTCAGTTCATGAAAGATTGCTTCTGAAATAATAGGTATGACCAATCAACTGAATAAATTAAAAAAAAACTCTATTCTAGAAATATAAAATACAATTAATGAATTATCTTTTATTAAATTCAATAAAAAAATATATGTTAAATACAAAATTAGATCAATGTTTATGGATGACCCCATCCACAATTAACTTAAGAAGCTTTGTGAGGTGAAAGTGTGTTTTATTCAACGAGTTGGGTTCGCTTTTGCAGAGATCCTTAGTGCCTTTTTGAAGCCATTTTTTCTTATTTATATTGAAAGATCAACTTTTTGAACATTACTAGCCATTTACAGTCTCGCAGGTTTTTACCACTTAGTCAACACATGAGCTAACTTGCAGTGCCCAATGGTACTGGTAATTCAATATATGCATTGAAACATTCCTCTTGTCTAATTAGGATCAACCAATGTAATGATTAAACATGAGGAGCTAAGGGTAGATTGGAGAGACAGAATCTGAAGTGCAATCTGAATTACGCAACAAATACTGCGACTGGTATTTGCAGGCACCCAAAAGTATATAGCATATGTCAGTTCAAAGTCGAAATTCCAATTCGACAAGCACAACTAACTCAAGTAGCTACATTCTTAGATGCCACGCAGACGAAAATGTTCCAACCAAAGCTAATGCAGAGCTACAGTGTTGATAGAGAAAAAATGGTTGGTAATTCGACTAATTTCTAAGGGGTTATGATTTGTGACGGATCTAAGATGAAATGTTTACGAGGGTGCAACTATAAATAATAATAAAATAGAAGTTAGGGTTTAATTGTTTTTTTTAAATAATTTAATGTGATTACAAAAAAAATTTATTCATCGAAATGTCATCCTTTTATACAACGTGAAAATAAGACGCGTTTTACATAACACAATTAGTTCACGTGACATCCCACTCAAAAAAGACGCGTTCTACATAAAATGTCTTATGTTGATTTGACAAAGATGTTTCCTACAAAACACGCATTTGTTGAGTTTTTAATAATTACACCCCTTCCCTTTCTCGTCCCCGTTTTTAGCCTCTTTCCCTCCCCCATTTCCCGCCTTTTTCCCCTCCCCAACCCCTATGTAGACCTCTTTCCTTCATTACAAATCAACCAAAAATCATCTATTTTATCTAATTTCTATCTTTCTTCTTCTACAAATGTTTCAAAATGTCCGAGTTGTGATTCGATGCGTAAGTATTTTTTTATTTAATAAATTTATTTAAACTTTTTATTTAATTTTAGTTACTATTTTTTTAAAATTTTTGCAGTAAAAAAATGGAAATCATGCTACGATTAGATGAAAATTATATTTCATCTCATCTATCGAATATGGTAATAGTATTTTATTTTATTTTATTTGATTAATATCTAATTATTATTATTTAATTTTCTTATGTTTTATTTAATATTTCCAATTTTAATATATTAAATTTTTATCAATTAGGATAATGATTGTATATTAGAAGTGTTTATTTTAACACTAATTTGCGCAAACTGACTTGCATTTGGAATTACTTAAGAGATTCTAGATTTGGGTATGTATCCCAAATAATTGGAGGTCGTAAACTTCAACATACCCTCATTTTTGCATTAATCGAGAAATGGAGACCAAAGACACACATTTCATCTTCTGTGTGAAGAGTGCACCATTACTTTGGAGGATGTTTCAATGCAGTTGAGACTCCCGATAGATGGACGTGTTATTACTAGTGTGATTGTTGATAATTGAGATGGTTTGTGCAGCGAGTGTTTAGGAAAGGTCTCAGATTCGTTCAACGGTAGTCGAATCTCGTTACCGTTGCTCCAAAACAATTTTCAAGAGTTGGACGAAGATTGTTCTAAAGATGAGGCACAAGTATTCGCTTGAGCATACATTTTACGAATCATAAGAGAGATCTTGATGTCTAACAAATCTCGCAACCAAGTGCATGTCATGTAGTTGTGTCACCTCGTTACTTTTGAAGAGGTGGGTACATTTAGTTGGGTATCGTTAGTTTTAGCCATTTTCTTTAGAGAAATATGTAGAGTGACGAATCATACCAAAAATAGTATTGGCGACTCTTATTCTTCTCCAATCTTAGGCGTTGTATCTCATACCTTTTTTATGTTCGTATATCGTGAACGAAATATTTATCTTCCCTTTCCTATTAAATTAATTCAATACTTAATTTATTTATAAATAAGTTTATTTTTTATTATAAAATTGAGTAAAATAATTTTTGTATTAAATAGATGGTTATCTGTGAAAAAACATCATGTGATCCTTGATTAATTAAAAGACATCATATTATTAATCGAGCAAAAATCAAGTTAAGAAGTACACTTTTAATTATTAATTTTTTATTTAATAATTATTATAATTAGAATCTCATTTATATGTTGATAATAAAAATATTTTTTTGACTGTCCCAATGGTTGCCTTATATGAATGAATAAATGAGGGTGTGCGTCCCACCTGCCTTGAGTGATCTATTGGACGTATGACATGTGGTTGTGCTTCTTATCTGCTATGTTACTATTGAGTGGCATCCGAGTGACCTTGAGCTTTGCAAGTTTGATTTCACACAATTTATTCCAAAAGCACCCGTGAATCTCGACAATATGCATAACCTTGACCAACGAGGCAAGTTTGGTGTTGATTAGAGGGAGAAACAAAACGGGTGGATAACAATGTGGGAAAATCAATATGAACATATTCTAGTTCTTCATTATATTTCAGAAACTGGTTTGACAATTTCACCTTAATATATATCATGGTTCAACAAGAATGAGGCGGGTCTATTCATCGTCGTCAGGAAAAACGTCCACCGACACAATATCATCGCCCCCCGACAAATCGTGGACAAAGAGCGGACACTTCCAGCCTGTCGTCAATAGCACCTCCGGAAACACCACAACATCCACCATCCGGACCGATGTTGAGCCTGTCGGGTTACATCCCAAGCTCGTCGGTTTACATGTCAAGCTTGTTGGTTTACATTTCGAGCACGTCGAGTTATATGTCGAGCCCCTCAGATGATATTATATGCCTATGGACCCAACATTTGCTTTATATGCATCGTATCTGACAGGTGGTGCTACTCCACCAAGACCACCACTGTATGCAGCCTAGTCAACGATGTTATTTTTTTCACAATTTTTCGCAGTTCTCAGTAAGCGCTGGGATTATTGATCACACATCTCCGAATTCACTATTCCACAGAGGTCCTTCTTCGACATCGATTATGACCCAACAAGATGAAGTTGATGTTGATGAAGATGATGAGAATGAAGAGGAATAACAACCTAGACGAAAAAATATTGCTTAAAATAGACAAACACCATGTGAAACACATTCTCAAAGAAGACATCGTTAGTTTATATAATTTTATCTTTTTAATTTTTATGTTAATTTAAGATATTTAAAGTTATGTTTAAATTAAACATTAGATATTTATTATTATATTTGAATTACGTTATAACCATATGTTATATTTTTTATATTTAATTTTTATGTTATATTTAATGTTATATTTTGTTAATTGTTTATTTTTTTAAAAATTAAAAATAAAGGCACGTTCTGTTGAACTCACCTTTTAGGTGAATTGTCAAATTAACATAAGACACTTCCTATATAACACGCTTTTGCTGAGTAAAATGCTACGTGAGCAAAACACATTCTATAAAGCACGTCTTATTGCTACATTGTACGAAAATGTGACATTTTGTTAAATATTAGAGAAATTGTGACATTTCAGTAAATAAAATTTTTTAGGGTGATTTATTGTGTAAAATTGGTTGATTACAATGTTTATTTAAAAAAAATTAATCAATTGACAATGCACAGACAATGCAAATACATTTGTTTGTTTAAACTCAGATCTCATGAGAATAACATTATCTTTTACTTCTTAGTCCACTTAATGAGTTTAAATTAGAGTTTAATTGTTACGTTATTAGAATTCTAATTTATTTAATTTTAAAATTGATAATAATTGAATACATATTTTATCCCATTCGACAAAAAATAAGGAAAAGAAAACCAAGGAAATTTGGGATCCTTTCCTTTGTTTGGAATAAGATCAGCTTACTGGTTTCTGCAACTGTATATGACAGAAAAAGCGACCCCCTCTTTGGTGCATTTGCTTAGTGTTCCCGCTCTCTCTGCACTCAAATTCAGCAGCTGAGAACTGAACAAATATATACTTAAATTAAAGGAGAAGAGCCACACCTTAATGATTTACCCAAACAAGAAGAAAAAGAAACACACCAATATGTACAGAACAAAGGCAAAAGAGCAGAACTATTACTTAAAATGGTTCTCCAAATCCAT